TTGGCACAGAGTTGTGGTACGGGCAGGGCTGTGGTTACAGTTGGGTTCCGGGTTCTGGCACAAGTCTGCGGGAGGTGCCGCAGCGACTATTTCGGTTGCTGAAAACGCAAACAGAATGAATTCGAGCTCGAGCGCACGAACACCCCACTCCAACCTTTCTTCCCCGTTGGCTAGTGAGCACGTTTCGGTTGCGTGGTTACGACTGTCTGGGCTGGAAAATCCTTCCGGCATCTGTCCACTGCCGTCTTCCAAACTCGTCAAGGCAAAGAAACAAATTCCCGTGGCCGAGACCTCACCCGAACGCAAGGCAGAAACAAAGTAACGTCCCAAGAGTTTGAAGGCGGGAAGCACAACCACAAACGAGGCCATCCAAATGAGGAATAAAAAGAAACAGTTCTACCTGGACGGTCGCAATCGGATGCAAACCGAAGAGTGACGAAGGGATAATATAGGTTTCTCGCTCACAAGGACAAGGGTCGAGCTTGATCAACACCTTCGCCGAAGCCCCCGCTTGAAGAGGACGTTCTTGTCGGCTGCTGCTTAGGCGTAACATCGAGGGGATCATCCACCCTCGGAGCCACGTATCTCCCAGCCGGAGTAAAAAAAGTACCTTTGACCTGAAAAGATCAATGGGTATTGTGAATTGGTAACATGGTTCATGCGCTCGGGCGTGAGAAGAGAGCACCCGCCGTATCAACGACGCCACTGTTTCTTGACATCGTGTTCCGGTCGCCCCCACCATGCAGTTGAGCGATCCACCAATATTATAGTGCGATCGGGCGTTTTCCCGACCAATCTGTCGTTCTGTATGGTGCCCTTCGCCGAAGATCCCGGCAGCCTAGCCAACTCGATCGTCGCAAGGCAACGAAGTTCTAACACCTCGATGTACCCCAGGCAGTGACATCACTTCGCTGCTTCTTGCCTCCGTGGGGAAACAAGCGGGGTCTATCTAGGTACAGCAGTATTCGGATCGGAGTGATCCGAGGAGATTGAATCCTCAGGTCGTGAGCCACCGAGATAAGGCCCGTGCACGTGCCGTATGTCGCCTGAAGTCGTTGACCGTTAACGATAAGTTGAGACTCCCCTAGCACCATGTTGGCGAGTCCCAAAAAAAAAAAAAAACGCCATGATGATAACCCCCCCTTGCTTTTGCCCCAGCAGGCGTGCGCAGACACTTATGTACAGTCACCTCTGCGTCCACCTCACGGCACGCGTCTCGGACACATCCCGCCACCATGTGCGGCGCGACCGTGGCTGTGCCCCCGTCACTGCCCCTTTCCCCGTCGCCGAAGGTTCTCCCGCCGCCCCCGCCGCCAGGGTGCTCATTGATGCCCTCTTTCCCTGCGCCGTTGGCCGGTACTCGTGCTTGCGCCGATTGCGCTATTGTTGCTGCTTCTGTCGTTGTTGCTGATGTCGTCGCGAGGGCTTCGGCCTCTCGAATGCGTTGTACGATTCGATCGGCGAGGTACGTTCTGCAATATTCGGCCACGGAATCGCCCCCGTGTCCGTCAAAAAGGCAGAATATGTGTTGAACTCCGAGAGGACACCCCTGCGTTTCGTGTGAGAGGTGGTGGAGGTTGGGGATTGTGGTCTTCGACATCGATCCATTTTCAATTATTTGTAGAAGGTGAATAAAAACAACTTACAGTCGATCACGTACTGTAGTGCAGTGCGAGTCACCCGTAGGCTAACTGAGAAGCATGCCGTTGTCGAGAAGCAGAACACGTTCAAAAATCGAAGGAGGAGCCGCTCTATATTCTACCCTGGTATCAGACGTATTTCTATTGATGGATCTTGCTATGGGGGTTAGTCTTGGGAGCTTTAGGATTGCTCTCGAAAAAGAACCGTTCTCACGTTATCGCACGGTCTGCTTTACGATCCGAGGTTGGTTCCAGCGGTAGACTATTGTAGCACCACAGCGTAAGTATCCACACGTAGGCGCTCAGACATCATGTATATGCACGTCCTGTGCGTCCAGACGAATCTTGTTCCCACCACCACGTGGGGCGTCATTTTACATTCTGTAGTACAAACACCATAACGACAGATCTATGCATAGCATACGCGTTGCGGCCGGCCAAGGGAAAGTGCGTATATGGTGAAATCAAGTACCATATACGGACCTCCAAGTCCATCCTGGCGCACAGCCTATCCTCCATGGAGCACCTGCGGAACAAACCATGTCGAGCGCGCCAAAAAAAGCAAGGTGATGATGGTGCTTCGTAGCGACAGAAATGCGGCTCTTACGTTTTCTAGCGAAAGTAGACTACATGTATAGCTTCTATGCCCTGACCACACAGATTTTTGGTATCTAGAGAAAGTCAAGGGTATTGACATGCCACGAGAATGCTGAATATCCCCTTCCACCTGTTCTCATGTTTTCCTATTGCAATCCAAACGGATCATGCGCACCTCCACCCCTGCATTGAGCACGCCGCTGCCGCAATGCCATCGCTGCATTCATCGCCTGGAATGATCCAGATGGTATCTTTGTCCTTGCGATCGCCGAGCCTACCATGTTGATGTGCCTGAATGTTTGCGCCGCAAAGTATTCCATTAACCTTGTTTTCACGAACTATCTTCCTCGTCCAAAGATTAGCTAGAGAATCTGTTGGCCAATGAATCAAAGGGGTTACATGTGCTCGTCGTCTGTGTTCTTCCATGCATACATTCATGCACCCGCCGCAATGGAGTGACTTCAAGATTGTGTACCGCTGGAGACGAACCACGAAAGAAGTCTACCCCTGTCTGGACAAGGCACTCAGGTAAGGCCGTGGGCCTGACGCAGAACATTTGTCGCAGACTATGGGGAGCACTATTGTCTCCTCATTATATATTTTTTTATGGATATCAACTATTACGTGCACTGTCCAGATCCAACGATCCACAAAATCGGTGTACCTTGAGAGCGCGGCCGTCACGCTGGAAGCGAACGGTGTCCTTTTCGGTCACAGGGGCCTCCAGCGCGTTACCCATCCCACGTAATGAAAGCCACGAAGCCACGGGCGACAAACTCGCGGATTGCGCCAGGTCCCGGAAGGCGTGTTTTCGTGTTTTCATGTCGTTTCGGGTGTTAGTGCGGCGCAACGATCGTGACCGACGAAATACGCCGCGGCAGACATCGCCTGTCACGTGTGCTCCTCGTGTACTCGTGTGCTTGTTGTGCTCAACAGCTCACGCTCGATTGCTCTTGACCCCGGGTTCGCTTGCCTACGTACGGAATGGATTGTTACCTCTTGCTGTAGAGCAACAATGTTGTTGATATCACACAAACCCTTGTTTGTCACAGGCAGGTCTGTTTTCACAGCTACAACATTCCAACTTCGCAGCTGCCAATTCGAGAACGAAGAACGTTCTTTATCGAAATCCCGTTCTGCAGCACGTTCCATGTTCTGCAATGCCCCGGAAGTGCCATCAAGGAGACGCCAGCGAAGGAGACGCCAGCGTAGGAGGAGGCTCTGAACGGCCGGATGGAGTTGGGCGCGGGGCACAAAGGAAGCAGGGGGGATGTTGGCCGTTGGGGGGAGATCTCGTGCCTCAAACGCTAATGTGAGCCTACAGCAGTTCTTGATTTTGTAACATGCAATTATTGCCCTCCAGGCACCACCGCATCGATCTTATCTCCTTGTCCCACCTAGTTAACATGCACGCAGCAACTGTGCGACGATGCGCGCGGGAAGTTATGTAGTTCATGATCAGCGCCCTTGGAGAAGCATAATGAAAATATAATGATGGGCGAGTCAGCAGCGCTTCTGTTCACCGGTTAGGGATGAAGACAAACAGTCAAGGCCCATATGCGACCATGCAACCAAGATTTAGAGGCGCATCAGACATGGGAGTCAAAACACTCAACATACACAAAGGTCGGGTAGTTGAAATGCCGTGCTCGCTGGTCGGATAAATAGATGCAGAAAGGGAGGAAATACACGCGGAAGGCAGCCCGGTGCACATACGTCTCGGGGGAAACGTCGTTTTGCTCCGCCGCCCGCACCTCGACAGCGTGATCCATACTGCTATGCGGCACACACACGCCGTTCTTACACACCCACTGTCAGATTTAGAAGGGAGCATGATACGCACATACATGACGGAGGACAACAGATAAAAAACGTGTCAGTTTGTTGCAGTGTGGGAAACAGGAAATTGTTTATTTTCGTGCATGGTGTCCATACATCATATTCTAAGACATTCCGAGGTATTCGCCCTCCACAGACAACCTAGTGACACAGCCGTATCTTTGTTTGTTGAGTCCATGTATCAAACCGTCCTTACCTCAACACCACGGACTACGCGCTAGAGAGAGATCTGATGGGTTCTTATCGTGAGACTCGTTGAAGAGGCCGGGTGTTGGCTGTTCAACGCCGCCTCGACATTCATTCGAGGTCAGTTATTTTAAACAATATAATAGGAATATTTCAGCCATGCAAATACACCTGGCGGGCTAGACCGTGTAGGTGACCGGTTTACCCGAAAATCAGCAATTTGATGTAGACTAGCCTACCGGCGAATATCGCGCCCAACCGGTGATTACACCCCATCCCCGAGGACATGCTTGCGTATTTAGTTTTTTGTTGTTTGAAGCCAACCTCGAGGCATGCTAACTGTGCTGTCATGCCGTACATGGGTGTGTACATTCTGCGGGTCACTGCTGCTGCTGTTGTCCATCTCTTCCGTTCTCCCACGTTACAATGTTACAATGCGAGAAGGTCGAACAGTTTTTGGTGTCCTCCTACAGCTCTGCAGATGACAAAAAAAAAAGCGAGTTGTTGAAAAATGAGGTCTGTGCTGTTGGGGTGTGCTGTGTGTCCATGCGTGTTGGTGGCCATGCGTGTTGGCGGCCACACTTGCGGGCCTTGACAAAGGAGGTCCCACACTGGAGAAAGGGGGTCTCGCATACGAGGGGAGCCCGTGAGGAAGAAAATAGCCCAGACAATTCTTATTATCCGCAGACCCTGTGACCGGTTTGATTACCAGGTTTCTTACAACCAAAGAAAACCCTTTTTCATCCCGCCAGGGAATCAAAGTACCCTGTGGGCAAGCTATTCACGTGCACACAGCAGTGCCATGTACGGAGCGAAACGTCCTCGCAGCTAGCAGTACGTCTCGATCCTGCTCTTTCAGTCAAAAGACGAATCTCGCGAAGTTCCAGCCGAGTCGGGGTTCAATCAAATTCTTTCTTCATTACAACACAAAAAAAACACCGCGTGAGACCTTGCGCGTGTTGCTACAACGCCATTCACTACTGCTGCTGTGTACTTGATGGACGGTGCCTCTCGCTATTCCCTGATCTTCTCCCGACGTGGAAGCAAGTTACACATATTCAAGGGGGGTACACAGGCTTCAAACGCAATAAGCCATTCAAAGTTACCGAAGCACCCAATCTATGAATTATGCACCTGGGAGTTAAGGACTTCAGGCTCAACAAAGGAGAAAAATATCAGTCAAGACCATGGCCAAAAGAACAGCTGCTCCGTGAAGAAGCCAACACTAAAACCTACAATATATAACAGTACCCCATAGAGAAAATAAGAAACGAGTCTCGGACCAATATAAAGAGTCTCTCAAGTGCGTCGTACTTACAGCGGGTACGTCTCATGCCCCACTCACATCGACAAACGGCACCCCACGTCACCCTACACCCCACGTCACCCTTCACCGCCATTTGCATATGCATACCAGCTTTACAAACGCGAAGAATCCCCAGTATCTCAGCCGACTGATGGCGAAATCTTAATCGACGACACCGGAGGCTTGCCTCCTTCCCGAAGGCCCCCAATACCTCAGCCGACATGGCGAAACCTCTTGCTGAGAATGACGGAGGCAAACCTCTTCCCCAATAGAGCAATTTCACGTACTGTACCCCAACCACAAAAACAGGGAAGTAAACCTTTGTGCTGTAGCTTGGTCAACATTCATGCAGTGCACACAAGCCCCCAGCAACGAGATTACATCGACTGTCGAGGTTGGTCAACAGCCACAGAGGGAAGCAAACCAATCGGTCTACAACGAATCGCACAGCGTCATGAGGCGGCGCTGTTGCTATGAAGTAGCACTTTCCACACCGGCCAGTCGCGTTAAATCTAGCTTGCCCGACCGAGTTCTGGTGCTGAAAAAATCACCAACCCGCCAAATGAAAAAATCAATACAAATAATAGACGAAAAGTTAACTGAACACAAAAAAATCGTACCGTCGTCGTTCACGGAAGGGGGAAGGCCTTCATAACATATAGCGTATACCCACACATCCACCACGTATTAGGTTCGCGCCACTGCCCACCAGCCAGCTTGCACGCTAGCGAGTCGTTGCCTTCCATGATACATGCCATGAAAGCAGTAAGCTACAAATTGCACACGGAATTCCGGCTCAAGCACATCCTTTGCTCATGCACTGCAAGGATAGAGCGGGATGACGGCCAACCGATCGACTCGTACGGATCACGCGCAAACCCGTGGCCCCACCTAACGCTTGCAGCACCCATACGCCGACTGCAAGCAAACAAGCGTCGTGTCGAGACTTCCAGGCGCCAAGAATCACCTCGGAGAACAGCTCCCCCCCCTCTCCGATTTACACTACCATCCACCGCCCGCCCCAGAGATGTCAAACGACGACGACTTGCACAGGATCCCTGTTGATAGCCGTGAGTCGGCTACGTGACCCGTGTCCCACATGCGCACACCACATGCCACTTAGAGAGGAGCCCCCACATGGCTGACAGCGAATCACTGAATCAAACAGCACCGCCACCAAGATCAGAATTAGACCGACCCACCGCGTTCTAACCGACGTTCATCAAGTGGGGCTTGCCTACGCACTGCACCTCTAATGTTGCCGCTTATGCGCACACGTGGTACATCGGTGTCAGCCTGCAACTCCGCACGCGCGGTAAACACACACCAGGTGGTACCTGAGGAGCACAACAGGGGCTCCCTCCGGGATAAGGAACTCGAGATCTCGACATCCACACTCGTGGACATCGCAATTACAGCAACGAAAGTAATGAACACAAAAACAAAAGAACAAAAAATCGCAAGCGTGATCTGAAAAACCCGTAGCGAACCGCCCTGTCCTGGGCGCCCAAATTCCGGGACCTCCTTTGCGTGGGTTACCCTAGGGACTCCTTTACTCTCAAGAGTCCATGGCTCGCGCGAACGGATACCCGGAATATTCTCTACGACGCGCGCCAAGCGGTGCCTGGTGTCGTTTCATGGGATGAAAGCCCCGTCGTGTGGGCCTCGACTTTTATCGCCACTCAGCGTAGGAAAGGGTCAGGCGGGTGTCCTCTTACGCCCTCCGCGTCGTCGCCACGCCGCGTGTTTTTTTTCTTTCTCGGCAAATAGTCGACAACAATATGATGAATGCTAATAGTAGTCAAACGAAAAAAACAGGACCGCCGTGCCGCCACTGAAGACATGCACGGCTGGGGCTAGGATCGCTCGTGCAAGGGCGGAACCACAGACAGCCAGCGGTGTCCAAACGTCCACCGGCAACCTTCATAAACACGCGCTCAGCAGGCACGCCAATCAGCGCGCAAGTCCGTCATCCCGAACAATGAGCAACACCGAGCCCGACTCTCTACACATTATCGGCGAGGGATTGGCGTTCCAAATCACTTCTTAACACTCCGCCAAAACCCGCTTCGGCCAATAGCCTGCACCGAAATTTATTTTCGCGGCGGTGGCGGCCTACGGCCGCCTGCCCCCGCTGTCCCGGCCTCCGAACCACCTCCTCCAAAGCCTTGCCGCGACTGTTTTGTCATGCGTTCATTGCTGGCGCCGCCGCCTGCGGTTGCTGAGCGTACCCCAAGGGAGCGAACCAGGGGTTCTCCAGGACCTCCACGGGCAACGGCCTATCCTCCGGCCTGTAGGACATCATCCCCTGCAGTAATCCAAACACCTGGTTGGGAGCGACCGCGTCACAGCATGCAAGTTGGCCGGTAGTATGTATGAACTCGCTTGGCAGAGGGCGTAACCAAAGCACGAAAGCGACGGCCATGTTCGGTGCTACAAGTGCACAATGGCGCTCCCTCCCCAGGAACTAATACACCCCCGCAAGCAGCTTTACATTGATAGGGAAGGGTCCGGGGAACCGACAATTTCGATTGTCACGACAGGCTACAGCCGCCACCAATCGTTGGATTTTCCAAGCAAGTCTTCTTGCCCACAGCAGTCAATATTATTTTCTTCGATATGGGTGGCGTTTGACACGGAAAAAGAAAAAGAAATAACAGTTGTTACGTGTGCGTGTGTGGACGTGTCCATAAACTTCATTTATTTCTTCTTTTATTCAAATATTTTTTTCGGTGTTCGGGGACATGCACATCGTTCAGCCACGCACTGCTCAGTACTTATTGGCACCCCCTGTTATCCAGTACACTAGAGAAGCAACCTTGGCCAGGGTTACGATTTAGCACATCCACTTAATATTAACCTCGGTGTTTGCAAACTTTTTGCTACTTCTCACCTGGTCTGGTAGGGGGGGCATACCATAATCTGCAAGGTAGCCCTGCAGGTCCCCGTGAAACACCACTCTCCGAAACTTTCTGTCCAGTCGCGAGGCGTAGTCGAAGGGAGGGATGCCCGTGAACATCATGAACCCCATGCAGCCCACGGAGAACACATCCACCTTGACACCGTCGTAGGGCTGGCCATATTCATGTTCGTGGATCGCAAGGTATGGAAACGGTTTTTACCGTAGTTTCGTGATGGCGGAGGGGACGGGGGGGGGGGACGGGTGTACTCATAGTCGTGCATGCCGTGTCGTTAGACCATTGACCTCGCACGGCACGGGGGAAAGAAGGCAGCAAACAAACAACAGCGTCGATAGGAATCAACGATAGGATCCAGGGGGATGAAAAAAATGGCAGGCACAGTTGCCGGAAGGCAAATGAAAACAGACCCCGCTTCTCCCGAACTTGCCTGCGCCCGCCCCCCAACAAACGAAGAATGGGTTGCCGCACACTTGACTTGTTGGGGTCTGTTTTCTACAGCGAAGGAGCCAACCCGGAATACATTGTCAAAACACTCAACGGTAACCACGACAAGTGGCATCTCAACACAGCCATCACGGGCGAAGGCTTTGAATCTGCCGCCGCACGAAAATCGTTTCCGCTTCCTTAGCCCAATACGCTTACGTACGTTCTGACCGTCGAGGGGAATAAAATGGCAATAGATAGATCCGGTCACGTCTTGCAAGTGTACCTTGTACCATGCTCGGTGAGACTTTCCCCAGTGGAGGTGAGCGAGGGATCGGAGGGGTACTTTTGTGTGCTGCATGCCTTAGCTGTTAGGCCATAGACCACGCGTCCTAGAGGGAGGACGGAGCATTGTTCCCATAGGACCGATCACCGATGGCCAATCGTTCCTTTCTACTTTGCCAAAGGTGGTCCAAAAGCGCTTCCCGTGTCCTTCCTATCCCATCGATGTTACTCCCCCCGCCTCTTCAACCCCATCCTATGCCCCAGTACAGCTACCGTGTTCTCGTCGTTGTTCCGTGGGAGAGGGGGCGGGGGGAGAAGGGCAGCAAGACAAGTGTCTCACCTCTCGGCCTTTGTAGGTCTCGGGCGGGCAGTAGGACCTCTTGGCCCTTCGGCCATCCGGCACCGACATGAAGCTATCGAAAGGTTGGGGGCAGCAACGATGGGAAGGCTCCTTACACACACGCATTGGTCGGTCGGGCATACCCTTCGTGCTCGTTTTTGTAGCACAGCAGTCCATGACAAATGGAAAACACGCATGCACAGGCACGGAGAGCACTGCAGTGGTGCAGCAACCTTGAACAAAACAAAAAAAGGAACGGAATACTTCGACGAAAAAAATAAGGTCTAAGCATGAACACCCACACACTCGATTCATTCATCGTAGAAATTTCGCAGGAGAGTACAGAACGGGCCAACCAATAAGAAACGTCGAATTCAAGTCGGGGCTCCATTTCTTAGAATGTACTTCATAAAATCAAAGATGACCAACTCGTTCGAGATAGAACCACAACAGTTTCTTCAACGCTTCCATCGTGGTCGACCTTTTGAGTACCAATACTCGTAAGAGTTTTGACACATGGATACCAACAGTGTTAACAGTTTAGCGCAGGATCCACCGCTGGGCTTTGCTTCTCAACCTTATGGTCCTCATTGTCGCAAAAAAAGAATGAGCCTCTCCAGCAGTACAACGAAAAAAAAAGTTCTGGAATTGCGCGGGGAGGGGGGTGGTCCTGTCACAGCCCGCCGCACTCTCCCTCACCGTTGTCCATGCTCGTTGGTCGGCATCTGTTGGGCCATGCCGAAGTCGATGATGAATGCCTCGGTGTGCGCCGAGTTGACCAAGGTGTTCTCGAGCGACATGTCCGCGTGGCAGATCCCCTTTGAGTGCACGTACTGTTTTTTTTTGTCGTCGGGACCAGGGTTTTCCACCCGCGGGAGTACATACATGCACGCGTTTCACAAGTCGAACATCGAACGGAGAGTATTCTTAATACCATTTCTTGTTCCCGCGGGTGGGGACAGAAACCTCAGGAGGTACAAGCATAATTTTTTTTAAATAAGCAGCTTGGCGGTGGCAAGACGTGCTGGTATTGCGTCTCAAATTGATGGTGTGAATGAAAAAAAAAAAATGGTGACGGTTTCATCCGCGGCGCGGCGGGGTACGATGGGGTCATCTCTACCTGTCCGAAGCAAGGCGGTTGTGTAAGGTGCTGGGGGCACTACACGAGCAACAAGCGCACCGTATTTTAACCACAAGATGTTTTGCCGAGGCCCCAGTCACGGGACATCTGTGGAAGTAGTACGTCGGGCAGCAATTTCCGGAGGGCAAAGTTTCCAACGCGTACAGTATCGAACCACGAGCCCATAGAGCGCTGAATATCATGCGTGCGACACCACAAGGTACCAAGAGGGCTCGCGGAGCCGAATCCTGGAAGCACTGCTACCCCCCCCCGCCCTTTCCCCCTTTTTTTCGGGCGCTTACTCCAGTTTGTTCAATTCGCTTGTTGTATAGAATTTAGTATCGTATAGACTAGTGTACAAACCAAATACGAGTACTCTACATACATATATATTCGATACTTAGATAGACGCGTGTCTGTGTGTGTAGTGCATGACGTATATATTTCTATTACAGTAGGCCCTGTCTAGTGCCGGTATGCTGTGTCCAGAGGTTGTTACCACACTATACCGGGCCACCGGCACTATTCATACATGATGGATGGATTTATATAAACGCGGCGGTGATTGGAGTGGACACCCATCATCGTGTGTCCTGAGATTAGATCGGCACTACACCGGACTGCTGTGGCACTATTCAACCGTCCCTATACACTGTATACAGGGCCCACTACAACTAATACTGTGTACTTCATAGTTGTAATGCCTATATATACATACGCATATACCCATACTAAATCCTATAAAATAGACGATGTATAGGTTATAATATACTATACTAAATCATAGTTAAAACACCGTATACGGTAGAGAACATCCTCCCCCCCCACCCCCCCCACCCCTGATCTGGTCCTTAATCCAGTTTGGGGCAGTGCTTCCAGGTTTCGGCTCCGCGAGCCCCCTTGAAGATACACTGGAGGGGGCCCGCAGACAAGTAAAAGGACGGCACTCCCGCCACATCGGGCGGCGCCGTTGGACAACCCCCCCCCACACACACACACACACTGCGGCATGACCACTAAGTCACACACAAGCTGTCCGCATACAACTCAGCATATAGGGCCAGTCGACTCCAAACGTGAACATAAAAAAATAATCATATGATGGCGTTGCGTAATTTCTTTTCGTGGGTGGTTTCGGGATTTCTTAATTTCGGTTTTGGGGACGCAAATATCCATACAGAGTGGCCAAGCGGCATCAAGAAAAATGCGACTCGACGGAGAGAATCGATCGCCTCGGCGGCACTCCTCACCCTCGTGCCATCGACGATTTGGCGCAAAAGCGGCATGATAGTTGCCTCCGGTGCCGGATTCTGGTAGTTATCCGCGACCCAGTCGAACATCTCTCCGCTCCCCACTCCGCCAACGAAAGGCGTCACCAAGTACACCGTAGTATCTGTGTTGATTCGAAAAAAAAAACGGGAATGTGGGCAAGAGCGGCAAGAAAACGGTATTGAAACTTCCTTTACCACACCAAAATAACATGGGGGGGTTGACAAAAACGCTGTTGAACTCTTTTACCATACACCAAATTAAGACGGGGGGCGGGGGTGAGAGTAGGAAAAAAAAAAACGGTGTGGAAACTTCCTACACCTCTTACATAGCAAAAAAAAGCCGGGGGTGTTGGGAGACAAGGCGGAATTGCGTGCGTGTTGAATATGGTACATGTACCCCCCCGCACACACATGCAAAAACACGAAGCTATCTTGGACTCCTTCCTGTTGATCGATATGGATGCGTTGGGTCATATTAAGAAAAATAAAATAAAATAGCGATTCGCCAGCGAGAGCCAACAGGAACCTACCGTCTTCTAGAGCCGCCGCCAGGCCGACCACGTTAGGGTGTCCTGGATCTTGCACCAAGGTCAAAAAGGCCGCTTCTCTCATCGGGTTCTATCCTCGAAAAACGGCATCCAAAGCAGAACATAAAACAGGGTGGGAACATTGTTAAAGAGCATTAGGCTTGCTCACCAGATATCGTAACGAGACGTTGGAAGCACGTTATTGCTGGGAAAACATAAAAAAGATGGGCTTACTCAGCTTCAGAATGAAAACAAACAAAATAATTCGAGATTTGCAAGGGGTGTGTGTTTACTTGTAAGCTTAGCCGTGGCTGGTTCCGACCATAATCACGGGGTGCGAGGGAGATAACATTAAGCAAGAGATCACAGCAATGATCGCGGCTTTGAACGACCAAAACAAAAACGTTCGATTTGCGCCTCATGCTCGTCGCCGGACGTGGATCTTCCAACATTGCCGCATGAAATTCAGAGAATCGACCGTTGCATATGTATTGCGTCCCAAATACTGACGATTACAGAACACCCAAACAAAAACGAACAACAAAACACTTACATATATTGCAATAGATGGTCATGAACGAAAAAAACGCACCTGACTGCTGCAACACGCACAAACAATTCGCAAGTCCTCTCATTCTCCGACCAGCGCGGTACATATATAATACTTCACGTTTACCCCATGAGCGACCACACCAACATACAACCAGAGCGTCAGATTCTTGACAAATGTATGGTGTGAAAAACAAAAGCAGTGGCTGCCTATTTTTTTGCGATAATAGATGGTACTCTGGAGTAAACACGTACCAGGTAGAAGTACGTATACCTCCATAAACTTTGGGTTTGGGGGGAAGAGGTCTTGTACGTATCCAAAACCACCACCGCAATCATGTCTGGGGCCGGTGCGAAATCCACCGAAGAACGAAAGCCGAGACATACGACAAGCAACGAACGAAACCGTGCACAGACTCTCGACTGCGATTGAGTTTCGCGGGCCGGGCAAAACACATAAGTCCGCGATACAGTAGTATACTCGCGGTCACAGCCAAGCCAATCACGCTATTGGACCGAGCCGCCGCGGAGACCCATCTCACCTCCTGTATGGTCGGCTGCAGTCTGGCAATAGTTGCCTTCAGCATCCTTTTCACGGCAAACCGGCGCGGCACGCCTCTCTCGTCGAGCACCGAGGTATAGAAGGTCACTCCGCCCCCGTTGTGCAGCCTCACCTTCCAGAGGAAGTCGGGACGACAGTGGTGGTGTGCGTACCGTATGAGCCGGAGCGGAATAAAAATACAGCAGCAGTAAACCGTGGCAGCCATGCATACCCACCGTATCATAGATAGATCGAGTCGGTTGATATAATACAGCAGCAGCAGCTACTACAAACGGCATTCCAGTATCCAGCAGGTGTCACGAGGTGAACTGAACAAAACAGCAATCCACCCGGATGTTGCTACACGAAACTCTCAGGCGGGTAAGAGTTCAACACCGCCATCCCGCTTGGGGGATTCCTTCTTTAAACCGGTATTGGAGGCTTCCGTGAGGTCACGTGGTTTCGCGCTCTCCTAGCCCGTAATGTTTGTGGACGTCACGCGTGTTTGCTGAGTGGTTCACAGGAGGAGACATGGCGTGAGATATCACACCCCCTGCCCCTGGACCAACTCTCCACAGCGGAAAGAGCGGCGGAGTCGAAACTGGTGGCGGCAGAACCGTGTCGTCAGGATTTTCCCGGAAGCCTATCGTTCGATACATACATCCTCGTTCGTGGAGCAATCGAGCTCTGATAACTGGGCCAGGGGGTGTGATGCATACAGTGTGTCACCTGTGTATCTGTGGTATTACAGTCGACATCCTCGTAGAACCTTCTGTAGGTTGTGGGTTCCAAGCTCTTCGGAGTGAAACAAATCCCCACTCTCGAAACGAACGCCAGCGCATGGTCGGGAGTACCCACAAAACAATGCCAGAAAGAGATTGCTGAGAACCGAGGACCCTTACGGCGTGAACAGTAGTAGATGGAAGAGAAGCACCGCACACGAGGAAATGCGAAGAAAATTACAACAAATTCAGTGTTTAACTTCGTCCTGTCTTAACCCCCGGCTGGTGCGCACAACCCATGCCGAACCGAAGAAAAACTTGCGCCCAGGGTAGATGGAACGAATTCATTGAAGACACATTTCGAGAACGGCACTGCTGTAATCATGCCCAGAAAACGCAACCATACTCAGACCTCCGCCAAAAAAAAAAGACAAACCGGGACATCCGCTGCCGGATGGAATCAACCGTGTACATACCGTGAAAGCATCCAACACAACATCGTCCACATGGATATGCATACACGCCTCTCACGCACCCCACAAGGAGTTTGTTCCGAAAATATGTAAAGTGTTTCCTTCAAGCTCGGTGCAACCGCCGACGATACAACGGGACACCCGGTACCGGATGGAACCAAACCATACCGTGAAACTTAACAACAACGCATACGTCGAACACATGCATACACACCTCTAGCGCGTCCCACACTTGTCCGTAAATGGCATCCTTCAAGCTCCGGACGAACATGAACGTCAGCCCGCTGCGGCACCCATAGATGAGAGACAAGCCAAGAAAAGGACCACCATGTTGTGTGATGTACATCCGTGGCGCGGTAGGAAGACATGGGTTTCCAACAGTTTTGTGAGCGTGTTCGCCGTGCGGAGCCCACCCACAGCAGTGGTTCCAAGATGGAATCAAAGAGATGGGTACACCAAAAGGGGGGGAGACAGGGAAGCAGACAGAAGGCGGGGATAGTAATGATGAATATGGCAGTTTTCGTCGTATTATCACGAGTGCGAAATGCGACATCCCTGGCGGAGGGGGCAGAGCGCAGCTGTTGTGCACATGGTGTTACTTGGAGCAGTATCTCGAGTCTTTCTGGGAGTAGGGACAAAAACAGTTTAGGAGAGAAATGTCGTAGAAGGCGTTTCGAACGGCGGGCAAGCAAGCGCTACAGCGTATTCTCCATGTACATACTGTACGCTGCAGCAATAGCAACGACGAGTTGTATCGTGGCCAGCAGTTCAGACTCAGTTCATGCATACGAGCATCGTGGTCAGCAGTGGTTCAGTTTCAGACCGTTTTCTGAGCCGGTGCCCGTCCTTCCCGTATTCTCATTTACACTTCAAACATAACCCAACTCCCGACTCCCCGCACTAAATGTTCTATCTATGTAGTTGGCGCCGGCTTCTAGTTCTAGAGGATGACACAGCTGTCGGCGTGGCGGAAACGGCGGTTCCTCCGCCGGCAACGGTGAGCGGGAAAAATCACACAAAGAGCAAGATGAAGACTTTTTATTGAAGTACCCGAGAAGGATCAGGGTTTCTCTCTGAGTTGATTGAGGCGAATACGTTCAAGTCAGCAGGGCGTTGTGCGGTGTATGTGGAAGGCAAGAGGTACAGCAGTAAAGCTTACGAGGTGTCGGCCGGCGGCAACCGGCGGCAACACGAAGGAGTGTTGACTATCACTACTGCATGCACCTATACCCTCTTTGGAGGAGAGAAACAGCCAACTTATCCGTTTTCATCTACATCCGACACCCCAAGCCTCCAAGTGGCTGACTAGCTCCTTTTTTCACCAAAAGTTTGTCCGTCATGGTCACCCTGAAAGGACGGCTCATCCGCTCGACACGGATCATGCGCATACCTTTACATTTGTATGTACTGAACTAAAAATACAGACACAGAGAGACAACGCTGACTCTTTTGAAGAGGGGAGAAAAACAACGGAGACTGCCATGTGCAGTCTATATGCATACCATCTCCGAGGGTCTCTTGCAGAAGTAAACAACTCGAAACTCGGTGTTTTCCCCACACAGCGCAGGGGCAAAGAGTACGTGCAAGGTAAACTATGCATACGATGTACACACCCAAAGCTTTGTGTGTGATGTGGATGGCCGCTTTCGTAGCAATGGGTTTATTACGGTCCTCCCTCGTCGTTCCTTGTGTCGGTGTGTCGGTGTGACCCTCGTGGGCGCCTGGCATTTCCTGTGCACACACCGCGAGTAGGGATGCTCCTTTGTAGGGACTGCTGGACTGCTGTATGTAATATTGTGGCCTCGACGCCACGTATCCGTGTTTGCTCTTCGGAGATGCAGTAGATGCATATATATCCAGTATCCAGCGGCACGCATTCCGCCATCCACCGCAAAACCGGAACGGTTACTGATGCGAAGACGCGAAGAAAACAACAGCAACAACAGCAACCAACCACAGCCCACAAAACTGTCCAGCAGCACTCTCGCGCCCGGGAATCAACCGGCCGCGGTGTTTTCTTGTGTAAAGCTGTAGCTAATCGGCAGAGTCGAAAAGGGGTAAAGAAGAATAAAACCTTTGGATAGCCCGCGAGCTACATTTTGTAGTGTGGCCACTGCTGTGTTGTCGGCAATGATTGGGGCATCACGACCTCGTCTGCTGCTGCTATACCGATCAAACGAAGCACAACGAGCACGATGCACGACGTAAGAGAATCTATTCTTAGCGGCGACGCATAAACCTCGGTTGTGTTGAGAGGAGAGCGATAGAGTCGGCAAGTACGTAATGCGCGGGTGGCATCGCCTATTATGGTCTCCGTCTGCCGCATCAATCAAGTGCACGTGAAAGACGAAAAACCCACAAACCTTTCGTGGGCCTCAACAACGTCGTGCGGCTCAGGCGTCCCGTCAGGGCTATCGGCGGCGATCATCATCCTTGTGAGGGTACAGTCCGCAAGCACCGGTGCCGGCGGGACTACCTCCGGTTGAGCTGGCAGAAGCCCGTGCTGCTGTCGAGTTTGCGGTACGTGCCTTTTTTTTTCCAAACAAAGCGTGAAACGAGGACACGAGAGAGAGCAGGAAGGAGAGGGGTGCCGTCAGCAATGCACGCGGGTTGGTGCGAGAGCTGAGCCAGGCACAGCGGTAAGCCTTCATGCCCTGCTGGGCGGCAGAATATGCGTACATGCATACACCAGGTATCAACCAATAGACCCCTGACGTGCATGTTGGGGTGTGGACTACACGCGGCTCAGGATACCATTGCTGTGGCATGATGGCGACGGCCGTCAGCAGTCAGCACAGATCGGTGAACTTACCCCATGTGCGCCATGCTGCCCGGAAAAATGGAGCTAAGCAGCTGGCAAGCTTTCCCTGCACATATGTGTGCGGATCAAGCTCGGGCCAAAAGGAGGGACAAAATTGAGAAGTTGGAATAAAAAAAAAAAGGTTTTCATGCTACCGCGTTTTTTTTTTTTTCTCCCATCATTGGACTCTGTCGTCTGCCCCTCTGGCCCCTGTCCTCCACTTCTACTAGCTAGACGACCCAACCGGAGTCACATAGGAGGGGGGGGCTGGATCCCCTCCTACGGTTCCTGCCTGAGGTATGTTTATCGCGAGAAAGGTACAGCAATCCCTTCCCTCGCGACTTACGAAGTCGATTATGGTTTACTAACAACGAGCTTTGCAGCGCGACGCTTTCATCCTAGACCAGGATTTATTTTTTAGTGAGCGTGTTGGATATGCGGGATACCTCCTTGAGTGTCCCCGGTCCCACCCACCCACCTTTGCTGCTCTGGCTCTTGCCCTCTGCCCTCCCTACACCACAGTAGTAGGATACAGCAGTGCACGGGACTGGGTTGATGAAGCCTGCGGTGTACGTCTTGTTGATTATTTCCAGAACAACATGTTTCCTCGCGAACAACGAAGATGTTGCTGTGTATTACACATATGGCTGTACAATGTGATATCATTTGTAAATAAATACATAAATGCTGCTGTAGCAACAACTACCGCAGCTGCTCAGCTGAGGTTGTTTACCGCACTGCTGCAAGGTTGTTTAGCACAGAATGCGAACAACCGACATGTCCTGGTATACGCCTCTGCCCCTTTGCATCAAGGGAAATGCTGCTCTAAACAATCTCCGTTGGTGACAAGCTTCTCGTTGTAGTCTCTCACCTTGTGGGGGCACTTCAGCATTGTCGCCGCCACAGAATGGTAGACCAACACATCCGAAAAGGGGGCTAAAACCCACTCGGAGTTCTTGATGTCCGTGGGGTACGCTATATGCCACACATACGCATATATATGTGCAGTGCTTCAAAGATTCGCACCAAGCAGCACAAAAAAAATACTAATCGAAGTTTGATTTTAGTTTCTGAAGGCGCGGTGTTCCTGCAATTCTTAGGTGCTTCCCGTGCGCATGTCACCACCATTGCTGTCCAGGCAGGACTTTGTCCTTGTTAACCTGTGGTGCTTGCTTGCCGTGGCTTTAATCGCGAGAAGGATTCAGCCGGTCCGTTCCCTCGTTGTGCAGTGCTAGTCGAAGAGAGCGGTATTTCCATTCGAGTTCGGCATGTGTGAAGCGAATTTCAGACCACTGCATCATTGCTGCTTGTAAGACTTGGACACACAGCACAAGAACAAACGCTGCTGTCACATTACAATATCTACACGCGAATAGAACAGGACAACATACGTCCAACACCGTTGCCTCCCAACCCCGTACACTCAAACCGGTCCATATTCGCCGGTGCCTACGATCGCATTCAAGCCACTTCAACACTCCAGGGCTACTATTTATGTACAGAGGCAAGCTTCGGTAGTTTTCCACAGAAAGGGAGGCTTTCTTCCTGCTGCATAGTATGTGTCACTCCGCTTCTCGGGAGTGCCGGCAAGCAAGAGGATTGGCTTTGGCCTGAAACAAACGCCCTTGCATTCGTTTGCATGGGCACCACGATCGGCTACTGCTGTCGCAATTCTCTGTCATCAAATTCGCCGCTCCCCGTCCGTCGCCACATGCCATCAACTCCATCCTGTGTCACCGGTGTCGAGACCATCGTAGTTGTGCACCCCGTTGACGATGAGCCTCTGTGTTGACAGGGGACACTCTGCCTACAGCTCCTTCTGCCCCGCGTCGACGTTATCACTGTCGCCTCCGGCCCCGTAATCGAACTCGTCAACGTTGTATTTTGCGAACAGGTTGTCCGGATTCGTCATGGCCTTGAACTCGAGGTTGTTGCCGGACGGGTCCTTGAAGAACATGGTCCACTGCTCGCCGGGTTGGTCCTGCGAGATCAAGAAGAAAAAGGCGCACGATGACGCCGACAGAGTAAAAGCATCATCACCTTACATGGAGGACACTACTTTTACACATATACTCCAAGGAGAGGACAAAGACGTCCTACCGGTCGCTTAGCTTGGCCTGTAACTTATGTATGTACGTGTGCGTGGCGGAGGGCGGGGGGGG